AGGTGAGGCACGTACACACAACGGGACCTCACGTAGCTCTGAAAAGGAAAGGGTGACACTTGGCTTAGCGGGGAAGATGCTGTTTGGGATGTTTGCTTCCCAATCCCGGAGGGCGTTTGCACACCCGTGCCTGGGCCTCTGACCTGGCTTCACTCCCAATTCCAGCTTCCTCCTAGGGCACACACTCAGAGGCAGTGATGGGCCCCTGCCACCCATGTGGGAGACGTGGCTCCTGGCCTCAGCCTGGCCATTGTAGGCATTTGAGAAGCAACCAGTGGATAGGAGCTCTCTCTGCCTCTTTGGCTTTCAAATAAATAATAAAACAAACAACAACAACACACAAACCCATGGGGCTGGTGCTGTGGCACAGTGGGTTCATCCTGTAGTGTTAGCATCCCATTTGGGTGCCAGTTAGAGTACTGGCTGCTGTACCTCCAATCCAGCTCTCTGCTAAATGTGCCTGGGAAAGCAGCGGAAGATGGCCCAGGCCCAGGTGCGCCCGTGTGGAAGACCCGGAAGAAGCTTCTGGCTCCTGGCTTTCCTCTGGTCCATCTCTGACTGTTGCGGTCATTTGGGGAATGAACCAGCGCAAGATCTCTCTCTCTCTTTATGTGTGTAGCTTCCTCTCAAATAAATACATCTTTTTTTAAGAATCAGCATTTCAAAAAACAAACCCAGATCATATTGAGGTGTGTCGCAGACGGTGAATAGGACATCATTTTGCCAGAGCTGAGGGAGCTGTGAAAACCCTTAGGCTGTAAAAGTGAGGGTGCTGGACCCTGGCTGGGGCCTGGCTCTGAGAGGGCAACTGGCCAGGACCACTGAGTTCACAGCCTGCGGGCACGGCCCCCCACCCCCACCCCCCGCCAGTCTGTACTGCTGCCTGGCCATACACCTCTTTCCAGGCTGATGAGAGGGGAGGAGGAGAGGGGTTTCTGGGAGGAGCGCCTTCCAGTAATTACTGAGTGGGGGCAGGTGGGGGGCCGGGGAGGGGTCCGCACACAGCGCAACCCCACCCCACAGCCCTTCAACGAGTGGCTCTCGCCCTTACTGGGCGACTCACAAAGTGACTGGAGAACAAATGTGACTGCTTTCAACCCTGGCCGCGGAGCAGGGCCGAGCCTGGGGGGTGGGGGCGGTGTGGGGATCCCAAACAGCCGCTTTGAGCCAGGCGCCGTGGGCTCCGGACCAGCGGGGTCACCAGCTGCCACCTTTGGCCAGCCCCGCCGTCTCTCGAGGCCTCAGTTTCCAGATCTGCACAGCGAGGGAGGGGGAGCCGAGGACGACTAAGGCCCTTTCGGGTTCAGAATCATCTTCTGTGCGGATTCTGCGGAGCCACCCAGAGGCCCCTCTCTGAGAAGTCGGGAGCGAGAACTTGTTGCCGGGCGCCCGTTAGCCCAGAACTGCCCCCTCTAGGGGAGGCAACCGGGAACTGCAGGAACACTAGGGAACCAGAGGGAGTCTGGGGGACCAACAGCTGGTGACCCAAAGCCAGAGGCTGCTCCTCTCCTCTCCTCTCCTCTCCTCTCCTCTCCTCTCCTCTCCTCTCCTCTCCTCTCCTCTCCTCTCCTCTCCTCTCCTCTCCTCTCCTCCTCCCCTCTCCTCTCCTCCCCTCCCCTCCCCTCCCCTCCCCTCCCCTCCCCTCCCCTCCCCTCCCCTCCCCTCCCTCCCCTCCCCTCCCCTCCCCTCCCCTGTTTGCAACCCTAAGTGTCCCGCTGTGATGGTAGGGACAGACGTCCGGCAGTGACTTTGGCACTGGGCCCACAGAGCCTTCCGTCACGGAGAGTCCTGGGCCCGTTGCCAGACCTCAGGCTGACGCTGCCAGTTATCAGCTGTGTCTTCTTGATCGGTCCGGGCACCTCTCTGACCCTCAGTGCAGCCGTGTGGAAATTGGAGGCGTGAACACCTCCCAGCCCAAGGGGAGAGCAGCCCAAAGGAGCCTGTGAAAACACCGTGGCAGCAGCAGATGCTGGCTCAGAGGTTCGCAGTGCGTGCTTGGTCTTTGCTGCTGCTTGGCTGCAGGATTTCGGCCTTTTGGGGAGTGAAGCAGCTGTGATCCAGCCCTGACAGTGTCTCGTTCCTCTTTTCTGCAGGCCGCACACACTCCCCATTCCCAGCCTGCCACCCACCCTGCCACTGTAGCCAACGCCACATCCTTCTGGGGACCAGGAGGCCTGTGGGAGACACTGGGGACCCCACCGGTGCTGGCATGAGGGCAGGTCAGGGAGAACGACGCAGGTACGTTTGCCTCCCTTCCTTATCAGCACTTCCTGTAACATCTTGGAATGCTGGCCCAAGAATTCGAGCTTCCGCTCAGTGTGGGGGTGGAGGGAGGTCAGAGAGCCTGCTCTGAGTTGCCCTGGGGAGGGCCACGTTGTGCCAGGCTCTGTGTGGCCATGGGGGTGGATACAGAGCTGAGTTTTATGGGATGGCAGGGAAAGTGGGGTAGCAAAGACGATCTGAGGGCTTAGCAGGTTCTGAGGACCTGGTAGGATCTTGTGGATGACAGGGTTCCAGGGAAGCGGGGAAGAGACCAGACAGCTCCCTGGAGAAGGGATCTAAGCTGAGTCTCAAGGGTCAGTAGGGCAGAGGACGAAGGAAGTGAGTGCGTGGCAGAGGTGACAGCTTGAGAAAAGGTATGGAAGTGAGGAGCCGTAACTAATACTGTGGAAACGTGATTATGTGCAAGGCATAGCGATGCAGAAAATGAGCCTGGAAAATAAAGATAGACCAGATTTTTTAAATTAAAAAAAGTATTTATTAGAGACAGAGTAAGCTCCCATCCATAGGTTCATGCCCCAAAGGCCTACAGCAGCCTGGGGCTGAGTTGGGCCAAAGCCAGGAGCTGGGAACTCCATCAAGGTCTTCCACATGGGTGGCAGGAACCCAGCTACTTGGGCCATCACCACTGCCTCCCAGGGTCCCCATTAGCAGGAAGCAGGAGTGGGAAGCTGGAAGAGGGAAATGAACACAGCTACCATTTATCTTTTTTAAGATTTATTTATTTGAAAGTGAGTTACACAGAGAGAAAGAGAGAGGGAATCTTCCATCTGCTGGTTCACTCCCCAAGTGGCTGCATCAGCCAGGGCTGGACCAGGAGCTTCTTCCCGGTCTCCCACATGGGTGTGGCAGGGACTCCAGTACAGCTACTCTGATTTGGTATGGGGGCATTCTAACCATCATCTTAACCGTAGGGTAAGTACTCACCCTCAGACCTCTTAATGTGAACTGTAACCCTAACAGTTTGTATATTGTTGCTCTTACCTTATAAATCAGGAAACGGGCTGAGAGAGGTTAAGTGACTTCCCGAGATGCACTGTCAGGAAGAGGCAGAGTTGAGATGGGAACTGGATCCGCCTGGCTCCAGAGCAGAGGCTCCCCACCGAGGGAGAGAGGGAGAGAGAGAGAGAGAGAGAGAGAGAGAGACAGACAGAAGTGCTTTGATTGCAGAAGCCAGGTGGGGCCCCAGTTGCTTGTTCTCGGTTTCATTATCCTCTGCTAGACTCTCCTATGGGGCAGCCACGTGGCCTCACGGTGGAGACACCTGTGTCCCACATCAGCGAGCCTGGGTTTGCTTTCTGGCCCTGGCTCCTGACTCCAGTCTCCTGCTGATACAGACCCTGAGAGGCAGTGTGTGGGTCCCCACCAGCCATCAGAGACCCAGAAGGAGTTCCCCGTCACTGTGGGCACTTGGAGAGCAAACCAAAGGAGGGTGGCTCCTCTCTGTGTCTCTGCCACCCAAATAAGTACAGAGCAATTTTTGAAAGACAAGGAAATTCTCCTATCTGAGCCAAGGCCCTTAGCAGCCTTCCGGTTTCTGTGGTCCCACACAATATTTTCAGGTCTGCGTGATCCACAGAGAGGAAGGGGCAACCACAGTGGGAACCACCCTGCCGCCCTTTGGCAGCCCCATTTTAAACAACAGGAGAGAGCGCCGATGGCCAGCGTCCTTTCTTCCCATGTGCTGGCCTGGCTGAAGCAAGCCCACCCAAACAAGCCCCATCGTGGGTGGTGTCGGTGCTCATGTCTGGTGCACCCAGGGGGGTGGTCCCACCGGCAGATTCAGATGTGTGGGGTCTGAGGACTGCATTTCAGGAGCCCTGTGTCTCTGGGCCATGTCCTGCCCCTCTGGGGTACTGTCCGGCCGTCCCCATTCCAGCTGACCAGGAGCCCTGGTCTGGGGTTAGGATCCACCTGAAGCCCACCTTGGGGATGCTCAGTCTCCTGAGCAATCGCTGGTCGAGAAGCTTCTTAGCCTGAACTCATTTCAGCTTTTTTCGTCCTCTCCAAATTTGGCTCAGGAACCACCGTATCAGTTTCAGGCTATGTGGGAAACCTTGGTGGGCCCCTTCCTGCAGTCCCTGTGGTCAGTCCGGGGAGTCAAATGCTGGTTTCTGTCGAGTCGGGAGGGTGTGTGTGCAAGTTCTGACATCTGAGGGAACACCTGTGGCCCAGAAACTGTGACAGGTGTTTAGACGCCAGCTTCCAGAATTTTCACTGTAACCCTGTCCAGTGTAGGCTCCTTCTTTCTTCCTTTATTTATCTGAAAGGCAGAGTTACACAGAGAGCATTAGAGATCTTCCATCTGCTGGTTCACTCCCAAATTGGCCAAAGCCAGGTAGAAGCCAGAAGCTTCTTCCAGGTCTCTCACACAGGTGCAGGGGCCCAAGCATTTGGGCCATCCTCTCCTGCTTTCCCAGGCCATCAGCAGGGAGCTGGAAGTGGAGCAGCCGGGACTCGAACCTGCGAGTGTAGGGGATGCCGGTGCAGGCGCGCTGAGCGCACCCCGGCGGTCTTACTTCTGACAGGTGAGGATAGGGAGGCTCAGATTGTGAACTGCAGTCACAGCCGCGGTAGAGGGCAGGTCTGGATGGAAACCCAGGTCCCTCTGAGCGACTCCAGAGCGCAAACCGGTTTTTTCTCGCCGCTGCTCCGCCTGTGAGGAACAGAAGCCGAGCGCTCCAGAGAGAGGAAGCGGGAATCTGCTGGGGTCAGACCCAGACGCCGGGGGTTTTAGGGCTCCGCAGGTGACTGGCACACCCGGGGCTGCGAGGCGCAGCTTTACTGCGCGGGGCAGCGGCACACCCAGGTGCCTCTTGCACAGCGCAGTCCTGCTCACGAAACCAAAAATCAAAAGCGAGCGGGTGAGCGGCGGCGGGCCTGAGGGAGGGGCCCGCGGGCCCCCGCCCTCCCTCTCAGGTGTGGCGCGGCGGCAGGAAGCCACCCCCTCCGGTGGGCCGGGGCGCGGGGCTGTTGCGCCATCCGCTGGGCTTTCGTAACCGCACCCTGGGACCGCCAAGAGACGCTCCAGCGCGAGTTCCTCAAATGTTTTCCTGCGCTGCCAGCACCGTCTGCCGCTCTGAGTCATGTGCGAGTGGGAAGTCGCGCTGACACCGAGCCGGGCCAGAGGGTGCCGCGCCGGGCCGAGGGACTCGCGGTGCGCGCCGCGCGCCCGCCTCCCGGGGATGGCGGCTGCCTTCGGGGCCCGAGCCCGCCTTGCCCTGGCCGCCCGGGTCACCAGCCGAGGAGGAAGCAAGCTGGCCGTCCGCTGCGCGCTGCTGGCCGCCCTGCTGGCTGTGGGGGCCGCGGCACTGGCCCCGGGGGGCTGCCCCGTGCTGGGTAAGGGCTTGGGCGCCCGCGGCGGGCTGGGCAGCGGGTGGATAGGGGAAACCGCCGTGGCCACCGCAGTCAGCGGAGAGATTGGAGCGGGCGAACAGCGGTGTGACAGCTCCCCTTTCTGTGGCGAGCTGTGCTCCCTGCGGGCACAAGGTGCAGGCCCAGGGCCGACCGGCTTGCTCGGGCGCCCCCTGCTGCGACTTCGGTCTTGGGCCCCGCGCGCCCCGGGGCTGTCTGGTCTGTGGCTGGGGAGCGCCCTGCGGTCTGTGCGCAGGGCTAGGTGTGTTCTCGGGAACCCGACTCTCCAGTCTGTTTTCCGGCGCCCCGCGTTTAAGTCTCGCACAGCTGTGCCCGCAGTGGCGCTAACCGACGATGAACGCGGGCTGCCCCTAAGAGGGTGCTGTTCCCTGCAGCTGCTTAGGGCCAGCCCTCCTGTCCCCCCTTGCTTTGGGGCTGTGTGTGTGTGGCACCCCTCTTGGTTCTGCCCCAACGGCTGGGTGTCTGTGTGGGTGACTGACAGTGTGCGCTGGCGCTGAGCCACAGACCCTACCTCTGCGGCTCTCGCGTGGTGGCACCAGCTCTGGCCAGCCGACTGCTCTCCTCCCAAGAGTGACACTGAGCGGGAGGCTGGTGAGGGACTGGGACCTCCTGAGGCTGGTCCAGGCTGGCCTCCCCTTTGAGACCAGGGTTGGAAGCCCTGGAGGGGCGGGGTACTTGCTCCTGCTGAGTGGTGTGCCCCACTGCGGTCCCAGCTGCCTGTCTGGTCTTTCCTCTAGAGCAGCTGGGCAGCTGCCAGTTCCAGGTTTATTTGGGGGTCTGAAGGCTTCTTTAAGACTACAGTGGAAAACTAAGGGGCAGCGTGCCGGCTTTTGGAGCAGGTGCTGTCGGCTGTGGCTCTAGCTACTCCGACCTGCTGTGCTCCTGCCCCGGGTGAACACTCGGCTGGGTCTCTCCCAGCTGCAGGCTGTGTGCTGCAGCTGGAGGCTGGGTTCCAGGGCCTGCAGCCTCTCTTCTGCATGGTTGTGGTCCTTGTGCTTGGAAGAGGAAAGGGAGGGACCCCTTTTTCAATACTGGCAGAGCTGCCACTGGTGATGGATGTCTCCTGCTGTTTGCTGAGCCCCTGCTGGATCCGCATGTCACTTTGTCTGACAAAGAGGAGGCTGAGGGTCAGAGAGGTGGAGAAAGCAAGTTCTCAGGTGCGATGGGTGGAGGCCCACCCCCTCCCGTGACTCTAAGACCCACAAATGTAGAGTTCCACCAGTAGGCCGGGCTGGGGGTGGCTAGGGACAGTGGAGACTCTCTCCTCTGGCTGAATGCTGGGGTGGAAGAGGCTGAGGGAGGGGAAGTGGAGGTCTGGGCCTGCCCATCATGGTGTCAGGGGCGGGCAAGGCAGGGTGGAGGTCTTGGTGGGCTTCCTCGCCTGCCACTCTGCCTGCGGGACAAGGCACCTGCCCCAGGGGCCACTGCTGCAGGTGCCGCTTCCCTTTGCTCTTACGTGGCTGCCAGGTCCTTGGCTACAGCCTGCTACAGCCAATTCCCCCTTTTCCTGGGGGGTCCCAAGGTTTGGACAGCCTGTGAAAGGCAGAACTGAGAATCTGGGGAGGAAGTGAAAGCCCTCCCGGTTCAGAGGGAAAATGCAGAAATGTCAAAATACCCAGCTTCTCTCCCACACCCACACACCCAGCCCGTAAACTGGAAGGTGAAAAGAAAGAACTGGTACAGGAAGCGTGGAGCAAATGAGTGTGTGTCCCGCTCCAGAGCAGCGAGGGGCAGCGGGCAGCCGAGCTGGAGCTGGCTTAGGGAGTCCCCCGGCTCTCCAGCCGGCACGGGCTCACCTGCCCCGTGCCCAGGCAGAAGCTGCCGGTGCTCCTCAGGTGTGTCTGCTGTCCAGGGGGCCTGGACGTCTTCCAGAGGCTCTGCTGGGCTTGGCAGGCCTGGATGTGGGGGAGTTTCCTCTTCCTTCCACAATGTAAGCAATGCACAAACAGGCACTTGTTGCACCTTTAAGTATCTCCAAGTCTTGTTTTCAGCATCTAAATTTCTCTTTAGGGCAGCCTCTGCTTTGCCCCTGGGGCCGACCTGCACCCCCGCCTCACCCTAAATCGGTATCTGTTGCAAGAGCGGCTCTGGCCCTGGCACCAGAGTTGGGGCATTGTGAGTGTGGGGTGGAGGCTTGGTAAAGCTGTCGATTCTGGGCCTTCGCCCCAGATTTATGGAGTGTGAGCGAGCAGAGGGGAGGGAGGTCTGGAAACGTCCTTTCGGCTGCGTGCCGCTCGTGAGTGTTTAGGCACTGCCCGGTTTGAGGATGTCCACCCATCTGGTGTGACTGAAGACTTGGCTGGAGTCCTTCCATCACGGGACTCCCCGTGGCAGAGTCTCTCCCAGTTTTGTCCCTGTCCCTTGTTTGTACATCGCAGCAAACATTGGCTGGATTCCGGGAAGTCTGTGAGGCTCACATGGGATCAGCCACACAGATTCCTCCCAAGAGGAGATGGTCAAGTGCAAAGCATCACGCCTGGGCTGGCCCCCCCCCGCCCCGCCCCGCCAGGTGTCTGTAAGAACTACACAGTGACCTGGTCACTTTCTCACTGCCCTGAACACGAGCCTCTTTCCTCTTCTCTTCTTTCCCTGTCCCGCCAGGCCAGCCTGCCTGGCACAGACGAGACAGGCAGGGCGTTCCCGGTCACCAGATCTACCCTGGGTCTGAAGCTGCGGTCTCTAATGCACAGCCACTGGCCACCTGCAGCTTCTTAAAGGTAAATTAATTACAAGTCCACCAAGTGAAAAGTTAGTTTTGGAGCTGCGCTGGTCACCTGTCAAGTGCGGCAGAGCTGCGGGTGGCTGGTGGCTGCGGTACCGGACAGCGCGGCACAGGGCAGCCTCCCCATTGTTCCAGAAGATTCTCCCGGGCGGTGCTGGCCTGGAGCACCGAGCAGCTTCTTCCAGAGGTTTTCCATTGTTCCTTTTATTTCTCTCTGATTTCCCCTCTCCTTCAGCTGAACACCGCTCTCTTGTGCAGACAGTGACGCAGGCTGTGGAGCCAGACAGCTCTCTGCCCCGCCTTGCCATGTGAAGATGACTTGACCTTGGGTAAATGATTTAATTTCTGTGAGGTTCAGTGGCCTCATCTAGAAAACATAAACACTGGGGCCGCTCTGTGGTGTAGCAGGTAAAGCCGCTGCCTGCCACGTCGGCATCCCATGTGGGCACTGGTTCAAGTCCTGGCTGCTCCTCTTCTGATCCAGCTCCCTGTTAATGGCCTGGAAAAAGCAGCAAAAGATGGCCCAAGTGTTTGGGCCCCTACCACCCGTATGGGAATCCCGGATGAAGCTCCTGGCTCCTGGCTTCAGCCTGGCCCAGTGCTGGCTGTTGTGGCCATCTGGGGAGCGAACCAGAGAATGGAAGATCTCTTTCTCTCTCTCTCCCCCTCCCCCTCCCTCTCCCTCTTTCTCTGTAATTCTTTCAAATAAATAAATACATCTTAAAGAGAAAACATAAAAATCCATATAATCAATCCTCCATGTCTGTGGAGTCCACATCCGCAGATGGATTGGAAATATTTTTAAAAATCGCATCTGTACAGACTTTTTTCGTCATTTACTCCGAAAGCAATGCAGGATAACAACTATTTGCGTAGTATTTACATGGTACGAGGTAGTACAAGTCATCTACAGATGCTTCAGGTCCACAGGAGGATGTGCAAAGGTTAGGCACCAATGCTATGTCCTTTACGTAAGGGGTTTGAGCTGCCGTGGCTCTTTGGTATCCTCGGGGCATGGGTAGAGGCCCTGGACTCAATCTCTCCAGGACACTGAGGGATGACTGTATTACCTCCCAAGGTTGTTGTGATTCACGGAGCTAAGTGCGGTGTTACGCAGAATGTTAAGAAAATCACTAGCACGCAGGAAGTGCTTAGATAAGAGGGCTTCATTGTTCCTTTATTCTAGAAATATGTATATAAATATATATCAAAATATATAGCAATATCTAGCTATACTGTGTTCTAGGCACTATTTTAAGAGCTGGAGATGTAGCAGGTGAACCAATTAGACAAAATCCCCAGCTTATGGGAGCTTCCTTCTAGTGCGGAATGTTACTGAATGGTGTAATGTATAGTATGGTGGCTACTTAGCGCTAAGAGGGGAAGATAAAGCAGGGAGTCAGGCCCTGTGCGTGTGTGTTGGGGACAGGGTGGCTGTGGAGCAGGTATTCTACGTGGGAATCTGCAGTGAGAAGACCTACAGGGAATATGAAAATATTAAGTGAGTCCTTACACTCCCACCTTGAGTGGGAAAACTCCTGTGGCCTCTTTAACCACCTGTTCTATCTGAGGGTCTGCTCCAGTCTTCCACACAACTCCCAGGGGTCCTGGGTGCTGGAGAAGCTGGGGGCTGTCTCTGCAGAGCCCTTGTCTCCGGCTGAACAGGGAAGTGCTAAATGTCAAGTCATCAACTGTAAGCTGCATGGGAGGCTTTGCAGAGGTGGCCCTGAGGGTGCGGTAGCAAAGGGGAAGATGGCAAAGAGTGCTCTGAGCCTCAGGCTGTCTGTGTAGGTGAAGCCCCTGGGGACTTTCTCCCGGGGAGTTACTCTGTGTGCTTTCCCCTCCCTTCTTGCCTCCAGATCAGGGCAGAAGAGGCCAAAAGTCCCTACTGGTGAACTTCTACCCCAAGGAGTGAGCCCAGAGCCCCTACCTTCCAGCAGCTCCCCATGGCACCTGTTCTCTGCATCGGTGCCTTTCCCATCAAAGGATCCTCTGGTCCTCCCGTCTCTATGGTGGCTATGGTTGCCATTGCCACCTACTGAGTGCTAGCTGTGTGCAGGGAACTGGGCTCACCTTTTGCATGCGTGATCCGGTTTACTCTTGGCAACAGGAGCACTGGCCCCTTGCACGAAGGGCATAGGCTGCAGCCCTGCTGCACCGGAGGTCATCGGTCAGTGGTCACTGCTGCCTGGGTGGAAACGGAGTTGTCCACTGGACAACCTAGGGGAGATGCTGAGAAGGA